TGAATCCATAGTTGTATTGGTCCTCGATGACAGATTTCATCCATTTTACGATTAAATGATTAATTTATTTTCATAAAAAATACTATTATACCCTGATTATAAGTTAAAATACACAAATCATTATAAATAATGCGAAAGAAGAAATAATGGGCAAACACAGATAGAGCTAGACATTTTACTTGTCAAACCATGAAATCGATTTGACTGGAACCAGCTCATGTCGATTTAGTGGCTTAGCTAGTTGATTTTTTGTTGACCTGGACCCGTCTTGAAAACCTCGATTTGGTACTTTTTTTTTTAAAGATTTTCAAGTGTATTCTTTTTTTTGAAATCAACCAAACCGGTCAACTCAGATTTGATTGGGTTGATGTCAGGTAGATTTTAGGTTTGGATGAAAGTCGATTTAATAGTAGGGTTGTGTCCAAACCTAACTAAACCCGATCATGACCATCTCTAAATCCCAACCAAAAAAGTCGATTTGATAGTAGGGTTGTGTCCAGACCTAACTGAACCTGATTCATGACCATCCCTAAACACATGAAAAGAAAAAAAGACACTAGTCGTGCCCTATTTTCTCCGTAAACTTAGTTGTTTGCAGCAACTCTATTCTCATACCATCGACAACTCTACCATGCACATATTTGAATCACACATTTCACATAAGCACACTGCTTCTAAATTTGACTTGCAAATGCAGTCTTAACATCAATATAACATGATTCTATGATGATTTGGCAAATTCACTTGTGGACCCTTATTGTATAAGGCTTATATTGTGGGTTTATAATCAACTGGGCAACCTTTCTTACAAGTCGATTTTTAATGGTGAGTTCTACCTAATATAATTATTGCATCTTTTATTTATTTTATTTTATTTTTTGATTGAGCATTGAAGTCTCAACAAACTATGTGCCGCGGAAAATAGGGACACAAAATTGAAACAGACTAGTTGATTTCAAGGCACAATGTAAAATCAGAATTATTTCTTCTATCCAGATCTAAATTAAAAATCATCTTCTTTCTTGAAAACCATGATTGTGAAATCCATTTGGACAATGAATTAATCACAACTCATTATCTCCTTCAAAAACTTTGGGTTGCGATTGTGTATATTTCGTTTAGGATAGGATGGTGGTGGTGGTCGGCAATGTGATTGTTGGTGGATATGGTTGACAAATGGTTAAGGCTGGGTGGGAAAGATACAAAGACTAAGTTTATTTCATTTTCATTTTTTTCCTCTCGTTTTACTAAAATTAAGGTTAATGTTGTCTTTATATATATATAGTTAACCCATCCCACCTCCACCAACCCTACCGCTCCGACGACCGTTCTGACGACTATTCCGGTGATCGTTCCAGTAACTTCTCCTATTCCGACGACTATGCTGATGATCGTTCCGACTACTATTCTGATGATTGTTCCGACGACTATTCTGGTAAATGTGACTTGTATTTTTGAACCGTAACTCTACAAACACATGTGACCAGTTAATATTGATTTGTGACCCGTTTATGTTGATTTGTGACCTATAAAAAATGACAGTGACTTGTAAACTCAAACGTGGGACAATGATCTGACCTTAATGACGAATTAATTAGCCACAGTTAACTATCAAGTTAATTGATCATACTGATCCGTGACCTGTCTATATTCATTTGTGACCTATAAAAAATGATCATGACTTGTGAACTCAAATCTGTGACCAGTAAAATGTGACTTTTGTAACTCATTTATTCATTGCAAATCGATCACAGTTTATCAAATTATTGGTCACAACTTATTTCATGGTCACAAATCAAGAATTTTATAAGCATTTCTCGGTCACAAATATAAAATTTTATAAGTCACGACTTATTCATCGATCAGAAAATCAACATTTTTATTGGTCACGACTCGATTACAACTTAATAAATTGTGAGTTACAGTAACAATTTTTAGGTCACATATTATGTATCGATGACAAATCCAAGATTTTATTGGTCACAACTCATTTATTTTATTGGTGACATTCTCAAATTAATTGGCAACGCATTATTTTTGGTCACAACTCGATTACAATGAGTCACAGTCACAATTTTGATTGGTCACACTCGATTACACGCACAAAATAATCACAGTCACCTCCAACCACATATCGTCAGCACACCCGACACCCACCGCTGGAAGCGCGTACGCACAAACTAATCATGACCACCAACAATCACAGTCACCAATAACCACTCACAAAATAATCAGTGTAACCTCCAACCCCATCTATCCGACATGACCGACACCGCACCCAACACCGCACATCACCACCTTACCACCGTCAATAGTGCCAAATCTACCAACTTCCCAACGCCGGATCCACTACCAACAGTGCCAGATCTACCACACAACCGCACCTAACCGCCGTTACCACCAAATCTACAAAATTGTCGCCATCGCCACAACGCCATTACTAGAACTAGAACATCGCGGCATATCCAGTACCAGAATACTGCCGCAGATCCGAATCTTCATGGAGGATGAAATCCTGTAAATCAGAACATCGAGTCTCCCCAGCATCGTCGTGTGGAGCTTCTCCATCTTGCGGCGTGTCGGAGTAGCTACTGTGCGCAGAGAAGAGAGAAGAGTGCTGATTACGCCCAAAGAATAACGCGGTAGTTATAGAGCAGCTTTGGGGTGTGGTATCCGCAGGGAGATGGAAAAATGTTTAAAGGATCCAAAAGAGATGAATTGTTCTCTCAAGAGTGTGGTTGAATTCAATATTGGAAAAAAATGAAGTTAAAAATCAATAATTTAAAACAGGGAAGCATCGAATTCCCTTGATTGGATTGGATCGTTCACATCAATTATTCAGTTTTATAACTCAATTGGAGGCTTTCATCCCGTCACTCTAATCGAAAGATTTATCGTGAAAACCAATTTATTTTATAAATGTAATTTTAGAATTTAAATTTATGACATGTTTACACAAATTTTATTGAAATTAGATTCATAAATTGACCATATATTTCAAACATAAAGCAGTAAATAAATCACACCAATAAAATAGTTGAGATTTCGATTCAACAATTAATTCAACTCGTCATAGAAAAAGCATGACTGAATCTATGATTAATTTAATAAAAGTTAAATCAAACTCAACATATATTCATGAAATTGAAATTCAACAAATATTTCGATTAAACAATGGAAAAAACATGATTGAATCCATGAAAAATCTAACAAGAATTAAACCAATTTCAATGTAAATTTATAAGAATGAAAACCTAAATTTTAGCATTATTTGACAATAAAAAGATCAAAATAACTGAATAAAAGATATGAAATCACCAATTTCAATCGAGTTCCTTCGTAGTTTCACCAAAATCTTTAATTCCTCATGTGTTTCTTGAGCCAAATCAATGAAAGAATGGTGTAGAATGAAGAATGGGGCGTTCTGGAATGTTTTGGGGCTTAAATATGGTGGATAATTAGGTTTCCATATGTGTTTCAATTAAACAAGAAAACTGGAAAAAATTCACGTTTTGGCTTGATACACGTGCCTAGTGTAAGCTATGGCGCACGCCTTAAGGAATTGGGCAGCCTCAGTCGAGGATTTCTAGGTGTGAGGCGCGCGCCTCTCCTGCAAGCGAGGGCGAACACCTTGCAGCATGTTTGGACCATAACTTTTTCTCCTGATATCTGATTGAGCTGATTCAAGTTGTGTTGGAAAGCTAACTCAAAGGGCTACAATTTTGCTTCAGAGACCATATTCAAATTCGATTGTTTTCCATATCAAAAACTGGTCTCAATATGAGGCTGAAAATCAATGCCAAATTTTTCAGCTTGAAAGTTGATTTGTGATCATGTTTTAGCTATATTTCATCCCTTTGACTCCTTTTTTAATCCAATTGACCTCTGATACTCTCGAATCTTCATCAGAAGATTGGAAAGAAGTTTATAGTATTTGCTCTTTAGTCCCTGAACGTTCACTTTCCCCAATTTGCCAATTTTTCACTTGTTTCTCCTCAATTTCACTGCATTCATCACTTTGTCCTACAAAACATGAATTGTATAAAATTAAACTATATTCCAACATATTATTCAACAATTGCTCATGTTTTGACAGTAAAATAAGTATGTAAAAACGCACTTATCAAGTGCGGAGAGAAAGGAGTGAGGAGAGATAACAGGTGAGACGAGAGAAGAGGATGAAAATATTTTGATTAGGGTTTGGGTAATTATATTATGGTGGGTTTGGGTAATTATATTTATAATATATATAATTATAATGTATCTAATTAAAATATATCTAATTTTTGAAAATGAAAAATTCAGATCTGATTTTAGAATATAAAGCCCTGTTTGACATTCATTCTCTTCTCATTTTATTTCTAATTTTTTTCTCTTTCTTCATTTCAACTACACATTCTATCAATAAAATAATATTACACATAAACTCAAAAATTTTTCTTACTTTTTAACCACACATTTTTCCCATCAATCACTATTCTAGAATTTATTTTTCTCCAAAATGGGTGTCAAACACACCCTAAATCTTGAAAGTAGTAGGGAATGATGTAATTTCCACTATTGCAAAACAATTGATAAGTTGAGAACAAAAAAATGTAACATGGGGACAAAAATGCAACAAGTCCTATAGGTTGGGCACTAAAAGTCCAATTTTCCCTAATATTTAGGATTTGTTTGAATTTAGATTAAAATCTGATTTTAATCTAACTCAAAGTCAAATCTTCAATATTAACAACATCTTGAATGGATGTTACATCTTTTCAACCACACATTTAAAAATCTTAATTCACAATCCAAATAAAATATAACTTTAACCACCCACAGACACACTCTTTTAATAAGCAAATCACGCTCTTTTTTTTTTTTTTTT